ATTTTTTACTACAGCAACATTTTGACATTTGACTTCATTTTGAAAAGTTTGCAGAATTATATATTAGCAATTTATTTTTGTATATTTTTTCAAATATATCCGATTTTTCTCCCATATGCGGTTTGCTATAAAACCGACAGACAGTGTTTCACGTTCTTATGTCTTGCGTGTTTACAGATGCTATGGAATAAGCAGAGGTCAGAGCTCTGAAACGAGTATGATGAAGCCGCCCTCCTTCATCCACACGCTGTCTGATTTGTCTCTGAAAATCTCGGAAGATTTCTCAGAATATCTGCCAGAGTTTGTTCTGAAACAGAGTTCGTTCTGAGAAAGTTCTAATCCAATTTGTGACGTTCCCTGATGATGTTCTCCATCATTTGATGTCATCATCCTACTGCCTGTATATATATACAGTATATATATATAAATATATATTGAAGAAGGCCTTCATATTTCTTTATTTAATACAAATATTAAATCTGAACCAAAATGAAAATAAAAATAGGCCACAAAAAAATGTATGGCAAGGCAACATGGATATCCAGTATGTCACATTTGTTTTTATTCTTATATTTGTTTATTTACCTAGATATAGCACACAAACTAAAGGATTACTTGTTTATTTTACATCATAATGTTTTCATCCTAAACGTGGTTTTAATCCTGCTTGATCTTAAAGTTCAGGGTGACCGGTGTAGAGGTCAAAGCAGATTTTGGATGATTCATTTGATTGACAGGCACAAGAACAGAGCAAGGACACAAAACAACCGGATGATCCATGTCTGACTGTTTTTTTGTTCTGGATACAGACCGAGGTCAAAGGTCGGAGATTTCCACTTAAAAAGACCCACAGCAGACAGAAGACTTTTACACAGAAAATGCTTTATGAAGATTGCCAGCTAAAATCATCCGCGATTCAGAAACAATGAAATGTTGTGGCACTTATGTCAAATTAGCTGTTGATGCAACAGAAAAAAATAAATAAAACATCTTAAAGAAAGAAAATATTGAAAGGAATTGATGATACTGAGAATTTCGTTCCAGACCAAACTGACTGTTTATAGTTTCAAAATATTGAAACCATTTCTGGATGCTCAGAGAGGACTAATAGTTATTAGAAGTATAGCTTACAATAAATAGTAGAGAACTGGTCTTTAAAGGACTTGAACGAACACTAACTGTGTGTTACTGGTGGAGCAGATACAGTAAAAGAAACATATTAAGAATCTTCTAGACTTTCCTCTGATGTGAAGATGAACAGGACTGCACTGAGTCACATTACAGCTGCAAACATGCACAGCACAGCACGCTCTGGATGGATGTGAACTGGAGCAGTTTGTTGGCGGTGCAATGCTTTCTCTCTCCACTGGGTGGCGTGTTGGTACGGGAGCCTGAGAGGCTATACATTTGTTTTTCTAAATTTTCTAAATTATGCGAGCTCAGCATAAAAACTTTTCTCATAATCTCTCATTTTGGCATCAGGGGGAAAAAAAAGTACATGCATAATGCAGCTTTATAGAGTGTTCATACATACGTATAAAGCTGCATTATGCATGTACAGTGGGGCAAAAAAGTATTTAGTCAGCCACCAATTGTGCAAGTTCTCCCACTTAAAAACATCCGTCCATCCGTCCGTCTGTCCATGTGTCTGTCTGTCTGTTTGTCTGTCTATCTGTCTGTCTGTCTATCTGTCTGTCTATCTATCTGTCTATCTATCTGTGAACCACACGGGGGGACCTAGTGAATTCCCCACTGTACATTTTTTTTCTTAAGCCAAAATTGTAAAATTGTGAGATTGTAAGAAAACATGTTATGCTGAGCTCACAAGCAAATTTAGAATCTATATCCTGAATGAACCCTGTATAAATATAACTTTTGTTACTTTTGGACCAAGAAATACAAAAATACACAATAGTATTTAGTCAAGATCACAAAAAAAATCAACACTGTATGAAGATAAAAATGCATTAACTCTTTCATAGTACATAAATATAATCATATAGTCACATTCAAGAGCACACATGTGATTATACGTTTGATAATAAATTTAAAATGGCCCTCCCTATAGGGAGATATAATATTGTCTGTCTGTCTGTCTGTCTGTCCATCCATCCATCCATCCGTCTGTCTGTCTGTCTATCCATCATCTATCCATCATCTATCTATCTATCTGTCTGTCTGTCTGTCTGTCTGTCCGTCCATCATCTATCCATCTGTCTATCCATCTGTCTGTCTATCTATCCGTCTGTCTATCCGTCTGTCTATCCATCATCTATCCATCATCTATCTTTCTGTCTGTCTGTCTGTCTATCCATTATCTATCCGTCTATCCATCTATCTATCTGTCTGTCTGTCTGTCTGTCTATCCATCATCTATCCATCTGTCTGTCTGTCTGTCTGTCTGTCTGTCTGTCTGTCTGTCTGTCTGTCTGTCTGTCTGTCTGTCTGTCTGTCTATCTGTCTGTCCGTCCATCCGTATATCCGTCCGTCTGTCTCTCTGTCTGTCCGTCTGTCTCTCTCTCTGTCTATCTATCTATCTATCTATCTATCTAGCATGTTCATAATAAGTGGATGAATTATCAATACACTTTATTTTTGTTTTGCCTTCTCTGAAGAGAGTGTATATTGCATGTAATAAATGCATAAAATATTGCAATTAATATTCACAAATTACAGACAAACATTATAAATTATACTATATATAGTATCTATAAAATATATTGTATATTATAAACAAATAGTCATGCAGGCAATGAGACAGCAGAAAATGATCAAAGACCTCAGTGAAATGCATTAATGAAGAGCTCATAATTCACCTGATCTGAAGCCAAAAGCTCTTATTCAATTCGGTCGCAGTTGAAACCTGGCAGAATCTCTGGGCTGGGGGTCTGAAGAGGAGGCACTTGAGTGCAGCTGGTGATATTAATGCACCAAAAGCTGGTTTGCCAAATGCTATAAAGCTCACTAAGGTGAAGAAGCCAATAGCCTAATGGATAGGTTGAGCTCAGCCTGGAGGAAAAGCAATGGAAAGAATGGTCACATTAACAATACTCAGCGTGTGATGGTGGTGTTTGAGCCTGAATGTCTGTAACAAAAAAATAAAAATAAAAATCATTACAGTTAAACAGTAATTTGTGTGAATGAAACTGTTTTTGACCAAACAATTCAAATTCCAAAACAATTATACAACATGAAGCTTCGTAATTAATTCTTCATCGAAGAGACAGGTGGCGCTGTTTCCTTGCGGTTGAATTTATTTAAATGCATTTTCATTTCTCGCCACTAGATGGTGCTGAAGCGCTTTGTACTCAGGCTGTGAGCTGGAGGACAAAATGATGCAGGTTCTTCCACTGAAATCCATCATTCATCAGTTTACTGAAGAATAACTGCATTGTGTTGCATCAGTCCATGACTGGCTCTGAATTAAAGGCTTATGCAACCAACAAATAACTTTTGGTTTTACTTCACAAATGTACTAATCATAGTCAGGTCAGGGCACCTGGATACACAGACATTGAAAATGACAGTAAATCTCTAGTTACTATGTCAAACCGAGTTAGGATTAAAACTCTGTGTTTTTAGTCAATAAACAGATGAATATTGGTGATGGAACACTTGTCTGGTTCATTTATATTTCTGTTTGTGCGTCAGCATGTTCAACCATCTGCTGTTTTATTATTTCTGGTGTACAGGAGCTCTATCTGTTTGGCTCAAATGAGCTAAATAATTACAGCAGTATTTCCAGCGTGTGTCATGTGACTGTAGATTAGCTCAATTGCTGCTAGAATGTCATATTACAGGCACTGTTCTTCTGAACGCTGATTTTAATAGCCAGAAAATACCTCTCCTTGTGCTGTTGATAAAGAGTATTAATGTGCGTAAATGGTTGTTCGCATTATGGACTACATTTGGAGCTTGAGAATCATATTATTTAAAAATAAATAAATAAATAAAAATAAACATGACCAATATAATAATAACAATTTTATTTTTGTCTGTTACCTTTTAACACTTTGAAATAATAATTATATATTCTAAAGTTTGTAGTACGACTTTTTTTCTGGGTTGAAAAAAAATAGGAAAAACAATAAAATTGTGATATATTATTACAATTTAAAATAGCTGTTTTCTATGTGAATATATGTTAAAATGGAATTTATTCCTGTGATCAAAGCTGTATTTTCAGCATCATTCCTCCAGTCTTCAGTCTCACATGATCTTCAGAAATCAGTATAATATGCTGATTTGCTGCTCAAGAAACATTTCTGATTATTATCAATGTTGAAAACAGTTGTGCTGTTTAATATTTTTGTGGAAATCATGATACATTTTATTTTTCAGGATTCTTCGATTAATAGAAAGTTCAAACAGAAATGTTTTGTAACATTATAAATGTCTTTACTGTCACTTTTGATCCATTGAATGCTGCTGAATGAAAGTATTAGTTAAACGGCAGTGTATAAATATATCTTATTTTCATTTATATAGAGTTTGTCGGGAAAAAAACTTGGAAAAACTGAATGGAAAATGATGATTTGATCTATTATGCAGCTTGACAGACATCAATAAACTATTGCTGGTGGGAAAAGCTGTGACAATTCTTCCATATTTTTCTTGTTCCATGGAAAGAAACAGCAGCATACGGGTTTGAAATAACATGAGGGTGAGTAAATAAATGACAGAATTTTCATTTTTATCAGAACTAATCCTTTAAATAAGTGTAAAAAAAAAGGATACGAGAACGAACACAGCTGGGTTCCTCATTTAAACTGGGCTGTCTGTAATGTGATCAGGTCTCCTGACTCATGTTCACGTCAGATAAATGTACATTACAGCCGCCCCTGCTGCTCACGTGGGAACCGGAGTTTGCACTGGCTCAAAGCTGCTGGATTGTGTAACAAACTGAATGTTTCTGAATCTCTAAGAACTATTCCATTGTTCACAGCCATGTGAGACGGAGTCAGAGGTCAGAGGTCAACCACAGTGGCACGCAAACAGAGAGAGAAGTGAGGACGAGTGCTACGGACACAAGGGCAAAAGGACAAGGTCACTGAAAACAGCTATTTAAAACTAGCCACGTGTTGCTCATTTTTAGGAACAATGAGTCTAAAATTCTACTTTAAGTGATGCATTTATAATCATGTGATGATGATTTAACAGTAAAGTAATTGTTTTGAAGGTTATGATTCAGAGTTGTGTTTATTTGCGATTCCGCTTCAGCTAGACTGAGTTTTCAGGACGGTGTAAATTATGACACACATTTCACACTCCATCCTGAAGATCCACGAACCCACAGCTGTTACACAACTACTAGAAATGAGTTCAAAACGAAGAGGAAAATTATTCCTTCTCATAGGAAAATAACATCACTTGTGAGATCGCTTTAGAGGAATAGTTTACCCAAAATTTGAGCATTGCATCAGTGTCTCAGCAATGGGTGCTCTGCAGTGAATGGGTGCCGTCAGAATGAGAGTCCAAACAGCTGATAAAAAAAAAATCCTAATGGATTTGTCTCTTACAAACAGCAGCTTTTGTCTTCTCCAGATGTTAATTGATGGACTGGAGTGCTGTGGATTATTGTGATGTTTTTATCAGCTGTTTGGACTCTCATTCTGACGGCACCCATTCACTGCAGAGCATCCATTGCTGAGACACTGATGCAATGATGAAGAAACAAACACATTTCCAGCAAACTTTCATTTTTAGGTGACCTATTGCTTTAAAATCTCACTTGTTTCTTCTAGACAACAGAATAAAGAGCATAAAGTAAGCATGAGGATAATAAAGTAAACATAAATAGTCTTTCCCCAAAGGAATTTTAAGAGAAACATCTCAGACACTGTTGATACTTCAGTGGGACGTATGAGCTATAAAGTTTTCCATGACTTGAATTAACTTTTTCCATGTTTGTGATGTAACTGCTTAAACATGCTGACAGAGTCGTTCACAATCAGTCAGTAACATCATTCATATCAGCTAAATAGACGCTTATGCTGTTTGTCAGCGAAGTGTGCAAGATAAAAATGGAAATTCTGTTGACGTATTTTTTTCATACAGTCAGGATTTTCAATGGTTTTCAGGAATCAGGGCCAGCGTGTTTAACATTAGATGACGCTGGCCTGAAAGACCCTGACATGTCAGGCCTTATTCTAAGCTGTTAATCTTTTGAGCTGAGGTTTACTGTTTCAGAACCAAATATAGCATCAATATAATTCAGTCAAAACCATAAAAACTGTTATAAACGTTCATTCAAAAGGCAGTTGAATAGAAAGCGGCAATGCATGTCTTTCCTAAAGTGATTATGATATCAATCACTGCGTGTGTAGGAAGCCATACTTTATATTTAAGACTGCTTAATGCTGTCTTATAATGTCCTATAAGCCTGTAGTGAAGTATGTCTTTTAACACGTGTTCATATGTAAACACAACACGTATATGTGCCTGATTTCCCATGTTATTTTAGTATTATTTATATACTATTATAGTATTTATTTGTATATTCTAGTGAGTATTTATTAATATTTTCCTTTATTTTAGTTAAAGTTTTACTTTGGTTCCGTTGTTTTGTCATTTTTTTAGTTCTTGTTTTCTAATGTTTCTATTTACCATGGATTTATTTTTATTGTAGTTGTAATTTAATTTTAGTACTTCAGTTTCAACTTTTTCAGAACAACATATTTCAGGTAGTTCTCAAGGCAACATTTCTCATTTTCGATCAAGTTTTTCCATCTAATATTTTATTTAATATCTACTCTAATCAACAAACAAAAAAGATCATATTTAATAATTGTAGTTAACAATAGCAACTGCTGATTCCACACAGACATTTTCCTTTCTCTACCAACCTAAGTACCATAGTATTACCATGATCTATCTATCTCTCTATCTCTCTATCTCTCTCTCTATCTATCTATCTATCTATCTATCTATCTATCTATCTATCTATCTATCTATCTATCTATCTATCTATCCATCCATCCATCCATCCATCCATCCATCCATCCATCCATCCATCCATCCATCCATCCATCCATCCATCCATCCATCCATCCATCCATCCATCCATCCATCCATCCATCCATCCATCCACCCATCCATCCATCCATCCATCCATCCACCCATCCATCCATCCATCCATCCATCCACCCATCCATCCATCCATCCATCCATCCACCCATCCATCCATCCATCCATCCATCCACCCATCCATCCATCCATCCATCCATCCATCTATCTATCTATCCATCCATCCATCCATCCATCCATCCATTTCATTCCTTCAAATTTTGACAAACCTCAGGCCTTCCTTTCATTTGCATTTATTTCAATAATATTCAGATTTCATTTCAACATGCAGTTTGCTCATTGAGAAGAAGCCAATACTAATATAAATTAACCGGCTATTTTCTTTAGGACGACTCCAAAGCTTTCCTACAAATGTGATCCACTAGATGCCAGAACAGCAGCGCAGTCAGGAGCTCTGAAGAACACATCTGATTGGCTCCATTAGCTCCTGACTGAGGATCCGGTGGGGCTGTTACTGCTTTTATTGGCTCGTACATCACAGCTAGCGTGCACTACACTTCTGTCTGCAAACGGCTCCCCGGGGATCGCAGATCTCGCTGCACCGGTCCATCGACGAGCACTAACGCCCTCCCCTCAACCGCCACTGCAGTGCAGTATAAAGCGAGATGGGGGCTGATATCAGATATATGGCTTAATCTGCAATCAGCAGGATTTCTTTGCACTGCTAGATTGACTCTTTCTGGGCACTGAAAAGCTTTTAGTAAAATAAGCGAGATGATGCATTACGATGCATGTTTTTTGACTTAATACACAGAAGGCAAAGATGGTTTTAAGTTGTCTTTTACATGCATTTGTTTGCATGTGCAAAATTCATTATAGCATCCTGTTGCTAGGGAGTTCTGGGTGGTTGCTATAAGTGGTTTCTCCCTGTCTTCTGGTGCAATGTGCATCTGTGGGATTTTTTTACACTGAACTGTTGTATTTGGTGATCGCAGCACCAAGAGCACTAGTGATGATTGATTAAACGCCATGAATGAATAGACAATATAATTTGGCAGGTTTGACGCAGCACACAGAGACACGCCTTTCTCAAGCTCATCAAGTTAAAACAGGACTACTGTGACTTTTCTTTGTTCCGCTTATGCTCATCTGGTGGTTTCCTAGCAGGTCTGAACTGGTAAAGTGGGTCAGTCAGCATGATTTTTGTGAAGCTGGTTGACCAAAGTAGATTTGCTGTTTAATGGGGGCAAACCAGCAGACCAACATCTACAACAAACACTGGTGGCTTTACTGAACTGTTCGGCTCTTTCACTAAATTATCAAATTAAATTGTGAATTTCACAAACAGGCTTAGGTATGGAAGCCCATTTCCGCCACTGAAAAAAAAAAAAAGTTATTTCGATTTTTTATCTCAAATTTCTGACTTTTTTCTCAGAATTGCATGATATAAACTCACAATTACGAGTTATAAAGTCAGAAGTGCGAGATATAGTCACAATTACGAGATATAAAGTCACAATTATCTTTTTTATTGTTTATTCAGTGGTGGAAATGGCCTTCCATAATTAGGAAATCTGAAACCAAAAAAAAAATAATAATAATAATAATTTTTTTAAAAAGGCACAGCTGGAAAAAATAAACTCTTAAGGACTGGGTGTTGTGTGGAGACACTTAAGAGCCCAAGTAGAGGCCCAAACTAATAAAAAAAACACACAACAAAAAAACCCACAGAAGATATGGGAGATCAAAAGAGGAAAAATGATATTACCACACCACAGGGAGGAAATACAGATACTGAAAAGATTTAAGAGAAACGAATCTACTGATCTACAACAAGAGATTTCAAAGCTCCTCTACAGAAGCGCAGCTGTGATCGCTGAACGCTCGTGTGTTTCATCATGAACAATTTATTAAAAACAAGACATCTCTAAAATTTTGAAAAAAAAATAAGTTGGGAAACAACATAACAAAAATAAAACTTTTTTAAAGAAAAAGTAATACGGGTGTAATTAAGGCAATTAAAAAAAAACGTTTTTCTTCAACATGCTTTACATTAGCATATTAAAAGAAAAGAGGGGGGAAATCTAAAAAAAGTCAACTTTAAAATTATTAAAAGTATTTATTTAATGTTCCTCTATTCTACATCACTTTAGGAAAAAAAGAGCCAGCTAAATGAATAAAGTAAATGTAATGTAAGGTAAATGTAAAAATAGATTTAAAAAAGATTCCTGCAACTAGTCTGAGCTTTTCATTAATGCCATGTTTCATCATAACAGCTCTTCACATACATTCTCTAAATATGTAAATTCTCCATCAAACAACTGCAAAAAATACTGCTTGTTTTCAAAGAGGTTTCTCCAACACTTTCACTTTCCAGTGGTTTGTGGAAACGCCGCCTCAAAACCCATGCGATTGGTTGGAATGTGTAACAATGACTCAACTTAAAATTCCGCTATGGAAAGACTGTAAAGGAATTCACTTTTGTTAAAAGGATGGATGATTCACAAACAAAATAGCTGATAAAGGAATAGTTCCCCATTATTTGAGCACAAAAAAGACATGTGGAATAATGTGGTTAACCATGACAGCCATCGTATTCATTTTTTCATACTATGAAAGCCAATGAATGTTTGGTTACCCTCGTTCTTCAAAGTATCTTCTCTTGTGTTCAACGTTTTTCTTCAACATGCTTTACATTAGCATATTAAAAGAAAAGAGGGGGGAAATCTAAAAAAAGTCAACTTTAAAATTATTAAAAGTATTTATTTAATGTTCCTCTATTCTACATCACTTTCGGAAAAAAAGAGCCAGCTAAATGAATAAAGTAAATGTAATGTAAGGTAAATGTAAAAATAGATTTAAAAAAGATTCCTGCAACTAGTCTGAGCTTTTCATTAATGCCATGTTTCATCATAACAGCTCTTCACATACATTCTCTAAATATGTAAATTCTCCATCAAACAACTGCAAAAAATACTGCTTGTTTTCAAACAGGTTTCTCCAACACTTTCACTTTCCAGTGGTTTGTGGAAACGCCGCCTCAAAACCCATGCGATTGGTTGGAATGTGTAACAATGACTCAACTTAAAATTCCGCTATGGAAAGACTGTAAAGGAATTCACTTTTGTTAAAAGGATGGATGATTCACACACAAAATAGCTGATAAAGGAATAGTTCCCCATTATTTGAGCACAAAAAAGACATGTGGAATAATGTGGTTAACCATGACAGCCATCGTATTCATTTTTTCATACTATGAAAGCCAATGAATGTTTGGTTACCCTCGTTCTTCAAAGTATCTTCTCTTGTGTTCAGCAGAAGACAGAAACATACAAGTTTGGACTGACATGAGGGTGAGTAAACAATCAAAAAATACTGCTTGTTTTCAAAGAGGTTTCTCCAACACTTTCACTTTCCAGTGGTTTGTGGAAACGCCGCCTCAAAACCCATGCGATTGGTTGAAATGTGTAACAATGACTCAACTTAAAATTCCGCTATGGAAAGACTGTAAAGGAATTCACTTTTGTTAAAAGGATGGATGATTCACAAACAAAATAGCTGATAAAGGAATAGTTCCCCATTATTTGAGCACAAAAAAGACATGTGGAATAATGTGGTTAACCATGACAGCCATCGTATTCATTTTTTCATACTATGAAAGCCAATGAATGTTTGGTTACCCTCGTTCTTCAAAGTATCTTCTCTTGTGTTCAGCAGAAGACAGAAACATACAAGTTTGGACTGACATGAGGGTGAGTAAACAATGACAACATTTTCCTTTTAAGAAGGCTTTTCTGTACTCTGAATGGACCTTAAGCAACCATAACTCTTAAAACACTGCGATGTTCTATTATTGTATTTTTCTCTCATTCTCACACAGACTTGTTTGCCGACACATCTGCTGTCCTTTTATAATTCATGGCCTGCTGTTTCTGTGGCCGTGCTGGATGGGAACATCGATTACATTGACCACACAATCACCTTTCATTTCCGAGGGATTGAGTGATTGAAGGTGGTGTTGAAGTTTGGACTGACATGAGACAATGAGACAACAATGACAACATTTTCCTTTTAAGAAGGCTTTTCTGTACTCTGAATGGACCTTAAGCAACCATAACTCTTAAAACACTGCGATGTTCTATTATTGTATTTTTCTCTCATTCTCACACAGACTTGTTTGCCGACACATCTGCTGTCCTTTTATAATTCATGGCCTGCTGTTTCTGTGGCCGTGCTGGATGGGAACATCGATTACATTGACCACACAATCACCTTTCATTTCCGAGGGATTGAGTGATTGAAGGTGGTGTTGCAGAATAAACAAGTGAGCTCATCTCCCGGCAAACACAAATATATTCTAAGAATCCTTTGCTAATATGTCCATTAAGTTATGAACGTATTTCTGAACATCCAGTTTTTGAACATTCTAACATTCCATTTTACAAACATTATGGAAATGCTACTTTTGATCTGAAAATTATATAACAATTAGCGACATTCAAAAAATGTTCGACAAACACACAACTAAAACATTCCATTAGCAATGTGTTTGTTTGAACGTTTTGAGAAAATTATTCAAGACCAGATCACTTTGAACAAATGTTCTATTAACGTTATCGGAAGAAACATTCTGAGAGCATTTCCTGTTAGATGGCCTGTTGATCCAGATGAAGGATAGACAAATCACATCTCAACTGTTCCTCCGTCCAGTTTTTGAACATTCTAACATTCCATTTTACAAACATTATGGAAATGCTACTTTTGATCTGAAAATTATATAACAATTAGCGACATTCAAAAAATGTTCGACAAACACACAACTAAAACATTCCATTAGCAATGTGTTTGTCTGAACGTTTTGAGAAAATTATTCAAGACCAGATCACTTTGAACAAATGTTCTGAGAGCATTTCCTGTTAGATGGCCTGTTGATCCAGATGAAGGATAGACAAATCACATCTCAACTGTTCCTCCTAAACCCCCGTGAGATTAAATGGAGCACAAATAGAGAATAAAGCTAGCTTTCTCCAGCTTCTCAGTTTTCAACCTGATCTCAAACATTTCTCACCCAAAGACGAAATGGTCTTAGGAGAAACATCTCAGACAGAGTTGATACTTAAATAAACCCTAAGTGAGAACTCCAGAGTTATGAAAGAGCAACCTGAGCAATAAACTCCTCTTCGGGGAGCATCCTGCAGTCATTAATCCACTCCACACTATTGTACCTGGCAGTGTGGCAGGTTTCCGGCTTGTCTCTCTGGGATCCGTCTGTTTTCGCCTGCAGGCAGAGATGAAAGAGACATTCGACTGCATAAGGAAAGATGTTTATTTGTTTAGTTGCGCATATGATGTTCTATTATAGGCAGTCGTGGGATATGCTCCATTTATTTCATAGAAAAACTGATTACGGTGGCACTGCAGCAGCTGCTCTTGCTCATGGATTGCATCATGATCATTTCAAACTTCTCATTTTTATATTTTGCAACATGACTGGTGATTTTCTAGGATGCACATTATACGATCTGAAAGATCCTTTAGTCAAGACGGAAACACATTTGTGTGTAATATAGCAACACGTACGAGAGGTGGTGCCTTACCATGCCAGCATCCGTTTTATAAATATAAACATATTAACACATGCTTACCCTGGCTGTCATTTCTATAAATGTCATGTGTGATTGTGGGAGGAGAAACCTCCGGCTCGAAATGAGCTTGCGGATGGAGACCAGCTGCTGTGCAGCATTGTGTCATGAGAAACTGTACACCACATGTTATTGTTAATGATGTCCATCAAGGATAATAATAATATAAACAGAAAAATGCTCCCCAGCAACAAAATTAAACTGAATTCAAGGGATTTCTCCTCACAGGAGTTTCAGGCTAGCTCAGCAAATAGCTCTTGCGTAATATTCACATTTTCTGTACACGTAAAATTCTCAAAATGTAATAAATAACCAACCCTTAATTGGGGTTCTGTTAGGTTGTATGTTGTTGTTCTTCTTTGGAAAAAACAACACCACCAAAACATTTACTTCTCATTTAAGAGATGCATTTTTATTTTTCTTGAGCATTCACTATTGCAAAGACGTTCAGGCCAAAGGCGTTCTTGTACTAAAAATCACAAAATACACAGTTTTTCACGGCGTGATTTTAACAGATTTTTTTTTTTTACTTGA